GCTTCATCCACAATACTGAAATTTAGTCATTGGAAGGAAGACACACCTCTATTGCTACTCAGCAGTTCGATAATTCTAGTACCAAAAGAACCTAGCTTTTATACTCAGTCAACATTAAAGCAAGGAGTTCTCATGTGTACTCCAGAAAGAGACTGAAGTTCATCTGGGACAAATGCACGGTTTCCTCATCTTGTCTCCTTTATACTTTTTGGTCACCTCACCTGTCAAATCCAATGCGTTTCTGAGAAATTGCTTAAACCTTCCTGAAACTTCTGCCTTGGTAGAAGTCATTACTGCGTTTAGCGTCATATCCAATTTGTGCTGCTCTTCTTAAGGTGTTGCTCAAATATCATTTATGCAATCTTAACTGAAAACTGATGCATCTCAACAGCATTTAATGAAGCAGCTCGTGTCCCTATCTGCATATGGGATACCAGTTTAGAAATTACTTCCTTTACTATGTAGGAACAATTAAAAAAAAAAAGAAAGTAACAACTGAACTGCTGTCAAACCCATTAAAAAGCAGATAAGACTATTTTACTCATATATTAAAAATAATTTACTTTCCCCAAATAATGTACAATTAGAAGCAGTTCACACTATTTTAAACACAGAGCTGGACAGTGTTTGAAGAAAAACTATTAAGTCTGAATCACATTGCACTGAAACAATATGCTGAAATGCTTTAAAATTCTGACTTGCAGCAAAACTGCTTGTAACCATGAATTTGTTTAGTATGTGCACTAGGCAGGCTGTCAGCTGCAAAGAGGAGCCCCGGTTTACTTTCTCCTGCCACCTCCACCACCTGCAAGCATGGTGGCCACCCGAATGAAGATGTTCAGCGTATCTGTGTAGATACCCATGCACCTAGGAAACAGGAAATTAAAGTTAATATTGTTGAACAGAAATAGTATTATGTGCTGTTTCACACCATTATACTTCATTTTAAAAAACTTTCATAAAGCATCTGTAACAAAACCCAACTATGATTGTCCTTGGTGCTTGATATGTCAAAAAACACCTGTATTTTTTTCTACCATCTCTGCCAGCAGTACCCTTAACAGACAATATGCTGTTCTCATACGGTAGCCCTCCACTTTTATGATTTACTTTTAACTGTTTATCTCCAAGAATTTTGAAGAAGGTCAGTATTATTCTATTTCAGATATAAGAAACCAGAATCAAGGAGGTATACAATTCACCTAAGATCAGACAGACAACAAGAAAATTACTTGTTGGTCAGACTTGGTCTTTACTGAGACTCAGTTTGTCCTTCTTTCCCTATCTTAACACACTGTTGAAGCTTTTTTATTTAGTGACAAAGTCTAAGGAATATTAACTGCCTATGAAAGAGTTAACATTTTTTGTCTCAGCTGATATTGACAGATATTTTCAGAAAGCAGCTACAAATTCTCCCAGCAATGCTTTAGAAAACAAAAATACTTTTTAGAAAGTACTGCTGGAAGCATGTGGCACCACACATTCAATTCCGGTTCTCTCCTTTCAGGCAGATGGCTTCAGTTTTAACTCCACTAGCTATTTTTGCATTGAGTGTTTAAACCCTGTGATTCTTCATTTAACAGCAATATACTTTTGAACAGTAAACGAAAGGTCTGGCTGTTTTTAAAGCATATTTCGATACAGCTTGAGGCAAATTCTTACACAGCTGTGTTAACACAGAATACTTACGCATTGATTGGATCATATTTTGTTACTCCATAATACGGAATAGTTTCTGCACGCTTGATAACATGCTGCGTATCGTAGAGCAGGAACATGCCAAAGAGTACCAATCCACCATAAACAGCTACCGAATACAAGCCGGCACCAAAAGCAGAAGTAGGAGGCAGGAACATGGATCCTGGAGAGGAATATACAGTAATGTTAAAGAGAGCTACTACGTGCATCTGCTGCTCTGAGTTGGGTACAACTTCAGTTACTGTAGCACACGTTTTTCAATGAGTATTCAATTCTCAATTTGTGGTGCATTTTTGATACCAAGACCTTTAATACATGAGCTGAAGATGTCACACATACAACCCGATTAATTGACTTTGAACATCCTAGGGAATCACGTGTAACTTTTCTTCATGTAAAAGTACTTCTGTTCCTAGGACTACAACAACGCCTAGAAACACATAAGGGAGAAGAACAAGTGGATCAAGAGCTATGATCACGTTTACTGCCTTCCCTAGTCACTGGCAGTAACTAAAAATACAAGCCACCACTATCAGCCATTTGTCAGATTAACAACTTGCCAGAACTGTAACTTCATGTTTGCTTGCAAGAACAAATTAAGAGAGTATTTTCTGCTGTGCTAGAGTTGCAAGGGCTATTTAGGGCAAATCTCAATTGGACAGACAAGTCTGCAATTAAATGTGAGCTGCATCTTAGCAGCTTAAATTTATAACCGACTTCACCTGACAGTATTAAAACCAGTATTTTACCAATTGAAGAGGCGAGAACAAAGCCTAAGCCTATTCCAAGTGGTCCTCCCATGTTCAGAAATTTTTCACTTGGAGCACACATGGCCACAGTTGAGAGCCCTCCGACGATTCCAGCGGTGTACCAGGCAGCTCTGATCAGCAAAGGACCACCCAAGAAGGCTAGAGGAGCCACCACTGCACCCATGACACCTAGCCAAAGGAAAACAAAACAACACCCAGAAGATTTGGAACAGTTCTGGTAAAAACATGACCTGCCAAAACATTTTTTTTTTTTTTTTCCCCCATTCAGATAACGTGGCACAAACTAATCTACTTACATGACAAAATACCAATGCACGTGGTTGTGCACCAATCTAGAAGGGAGCACAATAAATTGGCAACCTTAAATTCCATGACCTACTTTTCTCTATCTCTGAAGAGTACTTCAAGGAGCTGGTCTTTCTTATAAAGACTAACAAAAGCCAACATATTGATCTGTTCAAAACAGAGCTGGTAAGAGATACTTCACATCGACTAACCAACTACATAATACCCACAGGAGCACTCAACACTGAAAAGCAGTACAGATTTCTGCCACAATAATTAGTTAGGCAAGTAAGTCAGACTTTTTGCTAGAGTCTTGTACCAAACCTCTAGCTAGCCCATTAGCAGCACATTAGGTTGTTTAACTTAATAACAATCAATAAACACAATTACTTCTTGGCAGAAATGTGGGCTTTTGAGAGGCAAATACGATTCCAGTGCCTAGCATCCGTATGTCTTTCCTGAATTGCTAAGTTATTTCTAGCAAAAGTTTTGAAAAATGATAGCCACTGTTATTTGAAGTAACATATCATCAGGGAGAAACTGATCTATGCTCACAGCTTAGGTACCTGATGGGAACGTGTATCTCAGAAGCTGCAGTTTGATACTAAAATCTTATTTTTCTAGTCAATTTTTCAAATACTTTCCTATCCTGTATAGCTGAAGAACAGTAAGTGTAGGCAAAAGGGCTTACAGAACCTATAGTGCCAGAAAGCAGCCACGAAACCAAAGCAGCTATGAAACCAGTAAGTTCTATCCAATATGGTGTATATATATATATATCAAGTTTAACTTGAGCATGACTTTTAGAAGATTATGAAAAGTATTACGGTTGTGTTAAGGACACTTAAGAAATCTTCCTGACATTCAGAAGTTCTCATTGGTCTCTGAAAAATCCTAACTCTCCTACAGCAGGGTATAAAAATTTACTTTAAAGTCAAAGTTCTGTTAAAGAAAGAATCTGGTCACATTGAAGCATAGACATCTCTACAATGAACACTAAAATCACATACCTGAATGCATCATCCAAGCCAAATGTTTAGCCGCTGGACTATTTTCATAGGATATGGACCTGACCAACATTCCAGCACCAATCATAGCTGCAAAAGTTGCACCTATTGCCTGTAAAAACAGCATTACAGAGCTCAAGTTACCATTAGGACATATGGTCTGTTCCTAACCTCCTAGTCTAAAAGTCAATAACATAATTCTGAAAAGAGCAACTGTCTTGGGTTTGGCTGGGATAGTGTCAATTTTCTTCCTAGTAGCTGGCACAGTGCTGTGTTTTGGATTTAGCACGAGAAGAATGTTGATACCACACTGATGCTTTAGTTGTTGCTAAGTAGTATTTATACTAAGCCAAGGACTTTTCAGCTTCCCCTGCCCCGCCAGGTGCACAAGAAACTGGGAGGATGCACAGCCAGGACAGCTGACCCCAACTGGCCAAATGGCTGTTCCATATCATATGACATGATGCCCAGTATATAAACTGGGTGGAGTTGGCCGGAGGGCAGTAATCGCTGCTCAGGGACTGGCTGGGCATCGGTCAGCAGGTAGTGAGCAACTGCATTGTGCATCACTTGTTTTGTGTATTCTTTTATCATTATTATTATTTTCTTCTGCTGCTTTATTAAACCATCTTTATCTCAACCCACACATTCTGCTTTTTTTTTTTTCTGATTCTCTCCCTCATCCCACCAGGGTGGGAAGAGAGTGAGCAAGCAGCTGCGTGATGCTTAGTTACCAGCTGGGGTTAAATCACAATAGCAATGTAATTCATAACTGGAGGCTTTGTCAATTTTACTCCTGTAAGGTTAGTGTCAAGTCTTTGGAGATCCTAGCTTCCAGTAATTCCCATTTTACTTTTACTCAGTCTTCCAGGAATCCAATTTTAGCAGTAAGAGGGCAACAATTTCTCAGCGTGTAAGGTAAGAGAAGGAAAACACGGTTCCTCCTCTTACTCTAATCATCTTTAAGGTACCTGAAATGTTAGCCTTACTTTTTTCTTGTACACTTCTCCACCCAAAGCCAACACTCACTCAGTTCAACATGCTTTTGCTACCAATGCTTTTTAAATCTCATTGCCTCCTCTTACTGACGATTCCCAGCAGAATTATCCAGCAGCTAGCAAACTGGTCAGAAATGTCTAACTTTAATTTAATAACACATCCTTGGTGATAAACCAATCTCTGTAAAAATTATGTAGGTGTTGGCATTTAACCATTATCATTCTACTGCACTTAACACACTGAATATGTACTAAGCAGACACATTTTGCTAGCAGTTTGCCTGGATGATTTGCCTACCAGTATCGTTTCAGCCTTGGCAAACAGGAGACAGCTTTCAAAGAGCTATACAGAAGAGCAAGGCAGGAGTAAGAATGCTCATGGACCTCACGTTCCATTTTTAGAAAGCATAGAAATAGCATCTTTAGCCTCAGATGGCTATTTATAACAGGCTCTTACTTGCATATAGCTGGCAACGATAGCATAGTGGTTTTTTGCTCATGTAGCATGTCAAAGACAAACTATCAAAGTAATATAGAAGGTACATGTCAGCATGTAATTAGAATCACCAAATCTTAAATCACAAAATATCGTTAGGCTACTTAAGTAGTCTTTATGGATAAGGACCCTAATGTAAGTGAAGTTTTGCCTTACTTTTCACAAAGTAGTTTACATTTCACAGCTTTTATATCAACCATAACATCTGGGGTCTTTTCTCAGTAAGAGTTTTTATTTTTGTAACATAAGCTTACCAGCCAGGAGCCTCTTGTCATAAGGCTCATGAGTGCTGGAGATCTGCTTACTGCTACAGCAGACAGTGCCGTCAAGCCAATGCTTCCCGCGAAGTACATGTAAGTAGTGTGAATTCTGTCTTTCACATACTGTGGCCAAATACTGAAAAATAAGAGGTCATACATACATAGCTGTGCAATTACTGGTATCAGAATGAAGACCAATTAAAAACACAATCAAGCCTTTAAACATATTCATAGCTATGGATGTAAGGGAAGTTTAATAATAATGGTGCAGTCTAGCAACTTTTGCCATGAGTTTACCTTACAGCAGGGGAATGAACTTTTAAATCTTGCTGGTCTAATGTACTGTAACTCTAGAAACACTGCAAATTACAAATAATGCTAATAATAGTTCAATTCTAAGGAGGAAGCATACACAGAAAACAGCATAATGAATGCTTTTTAACTACGGAAAAATAGAGAAAGGTGTATATAGAAAACAAACTGGTTTAAGGAAAAACGCCTACAGAATGTGTACTGAGCACTAAGTAGCCTGCCAAGCAGCTCACAAATTGCTGAGTCACAGTGCACATGTTTATCTGACATCATAAGACACAAACATCACTTTGAGAGCTCTAACAATAGCAACAGACCTAGACATGAGAGTTTCTGCAGTGTGATTCGGTCACACTACCGACAGGAAGCTTTCCCTGCTAACACCAAACTTATACATAGTGCGCACATTTTCTCCCATTTTATATGTAAGCTGCACCTACGCTGGGTGATGCCAGCTAAAGAAGAGACAGATGTAAAGAGGAGGGAGATTTACTTAATGTACTCTTTACTTCAAACAGTAAGCCATTGTACTTACACAGCTCTTTCAATAGCTCCAATCTCACTGGACATGCCCATTCCATAGTAACAGAGGGCCCCCAGGCCAACAGCAGCCCCTCCAGCAACAATAAATTTCCCCAGGCGATCAACTGTATAAAGAAAAAAAAATCCACACTCTCGTGAATGCTTTTTCCTAGACAGTTAATAACATTCTCACATGAGTTTTGTCATATCTACAATAGCTAATCCATGTTAGGCTTCTTTCTTAAAGATTAACTTCAGGCCACTGTTACCAGCACTCAATGAGCTACATGTAGCAAAGCAAGTGTTAGCATATTTTTTAATACCTGCAAGCAAATCTCCATTAAGAGACAACCATTTTTGACTTAACAGTTCTCAAAAGCAGCTTAAAGTAGAGACATCAAGAAATTTCTCTATACTGGGACATACTTGCAGCTTTAAACTTTACAAGGAAAGACATGCAGAAAAACTGTCTCCAGTCATTTGAGGGAGATCACTGAACAAATCTACACGAGATGATATTCTCAGTCTCTGTAATGGTTTGAAGGAAACAGATTCATTCAAGGAGGTTCTAAGTTAAGCTTCAAAGATGCTCTCAGTATTTAAAGCAGAGCTACTCAACCTTTAAGTGCCGTTTCTGCAGATGGTTCAAATGCCGCTTCTTTGATTTCCTGGCCAATTTTTCCACGCCTTACACCCGTTCTTACTCTGGTAGCATAACACTGTTAGATTCAAAAATAACACATGAAAGATTCAATGAAATAAAATAGAAGACATTTGCTCTCAATTTACTTGCTACACCTAAGATTGCTACACAGTCTCTTATTTCTCTGTGCTTGCCTCCCCAAGACATGAAGCAACTATGCTCAGGGAAAACAACTGAACATTAAAATTTAGTAAGCTTTGTGAATAACGTTCACACGTTCTAAAAGTACAGAACAAACGCAGTGAATTTCAGAAGCTGAAGTTTTCAGTTTGCATTTCTTCTACTCTAGTCCCAAACAAGGCCATTAGGCTTTTTTTTTAAAATGTAAAAATATGCTTTTAATTTTGTAAAAAAATTATTTTGCTTTCTATGTGAAAACATTCCTTATGTAAACACTTATGTAAAAAAAAAAAATCTTCTTGCACAATGCTTCTACTTTATGGACACTAAATTTTGACAAGCAACATGAATTCTTTGCTTTCAACTCTAGCCTTGTTTTAGAGAACAAACCTTGAATGAAGGCCTATAAACTTAAAGATTTTTTTCAAGTAAGGTGCAAGAGCAACACAGAGTAACTTGTATTTAAGTTCAGAAACAACTTTTGAAGCTTCCTTACCATTTTTTCCAGGAATTTCTAAATCATTATACAGGCACCTGAGCAACAAAGGGCTCACTCAAAGCTGTAAGTCTGTTTTAGCACTAAACCCTGAAATCGACAAGTATCACTATCATCAGTCATGAGAGCAATTTTTTTATTTAGAGCAATAAAATTCAGGAAGTTTACCATAGCACATTAGTTTTGTTGTGTTTTGCATCTAATGAAATCTAGCCCAACACTGTAATTATGTAGCACTCGCCACAGAAATAAACCCACCAAAAACCCCACCCCTGACAAGAAAACATTCACACACACAAAAAACCCCAACACACCTACCAACTAAGGATACTTAAAACAGTTTTCTATGCTTGAGAGGAAAACACAAAGGAGGTGAAGAATTTGCCATTAGCACTTTCACCAAGATGATAACAAAAGAGCAATGCCCCCTAACAGTTGTGAGTTACCTGGGCAGAAAGCAGAAATGAAATATCTTCACTTGATGAAGAATAAACAGACAATTTCTTAGGATAATGACAGTCCAGTTTTTAAAATTGCTGGTAAGACCCGTGATAGCCCTGCCACAGTTCAGAAATTGCTCTAATCTGGGCTACAGCTCTAAATGCATACTGGGAGTAAAGTCTTTGAAGAGAAAGCTTTTACTTTAATATTATATTTAAGACTCTATCTCTGAAACAGGGAGCTAGAAGGTCAGACAAGAATTTCTGCTCCTCCCACCTTACATAGTAAGGCTTGTCCAACACTACCTACCTCCCTTCTTTTTTCCAGTAGTTTCAATGGGAAAATAAGTCACTGGAACAGAAGATATTATTTCAATTGCTCTTAAAACCCCTGGGTTTTGATTAACGCTCTTTCTTCAGTAAATTAGAGCAGGTACGTCAAACAATCAGAAGCCTCATGATCATTCAAAACAGCTACTCCATGCAAAGCGATTCTTTTAGTAAAACATTCAGCTCTAAAATATCAAGTCAGAACCATTAGAAAGAGAATTACCTTACCTGGTTAGGCTGCCACAGCCGGTATGCTTTTATATTGGAGTTCCTCAGAGCTGGGGAAGCCTGAGTGATGGTGGGGCGGATAGTCTGACATGATAATGCCCTCAAGCATACTAGCCTTGCAGCCAGCATGGTTGCTTAGATAATTTATACACTGTGTTCCTGCAAGTGCACAAAAAAAATATGCTTTACTATTTTGTTATGTGGTTTTCAGGCAACAAGGTACACTCACTACTTATTCTCAACTACACTACAGCCTATAATAAAAACGGTATTATCATTAGAGTACTGAATAAGAGCCAGAACCTTCCTAAATACGCAGTTTAACTCTGTTCTATTGATATTTGTCTCCTATTTCTATTAGGGACATCTCTCACAACTCACCTGGAAACTGGAGGATGTACCCCTTTTCATAAGTATAAATTACATCAAGACCCTTTATGTAGTTATGTTTGAGTTACTTCGTAACCAACTTTCATTTTGAGACATAACACTGTATGAGTACCCCACCCTCTAAATACATGTTCAAAAAGATGCTCCAAATTTACATAAATGTCAGACAAATATAAACCAAAATGAGTAAACTGAGTAACTTGTGTGGTGGAAAAAGTTTTATAGAGGTTTTAAGCTATCCTTTGAAGAATTAATTAGCTTTATGGACACAGCATTCAGTCAAGGTCAAAGCCCAGAACACAAATTCAGGTCATCTTGTGCAGTTTTGACCACAGAACAATGACAGCACTCATGGGCAAATCGACAGCGTAAGTAGACACCAGCCTATGTATTCTATAGGTAGCATTAGAATTGCTAGCTTACATCTACAAATAGTGCACAGGTCACACATAAAAAAACCACCCCAATCCTTGTAGTTACATGTACTTTAATTATAACTATATACAACCTCTTATATCGCAAGACACCCCAAATACCAATAGATGTTTTCAAACAATTGTTCATAGCTTACACGTACAGCCTCCAATACAATTCAAGAACATTCTCAATAAAGGTTAAGTTTAAACATGCATGAGAAACAAGCACCCACAGGACTGGGCACCTAGCATTAACGACAAAGTGAAAGTGAGAAGGTAACCCTGTTGCTAGGAAAAGGCGCTCTGCTTGGAAGCTCAGTTATGAAATCCTGCTTTTATCAGGGGAAGTACTTTCAGACGCACATCCTGTGTCCGCCGCTAAACCCCACTCTTCCACCGGGACGGCACAGTTTGCAGGAACTTACAGCGCCGATTCTGTGGCTTTGATTTTTTATTTTTTTTAAAACTGTTATCTAAAGCAAGACAACTCCAAGCCTTAAGAACGAGGACTAACGACAACGGAGTTTTAAAACGAAACGAAACACCATCAACGTTCCAGCACGTTAACTGGCAAACGCAGCAGTAAGGAGACAGTGCGAGGTCACCGCTGCACCCCTCCAGCCTAGGCGGGGCGGCGAGGGGAGGG